CCCCACCCCCACCCCCCACAGCCCTGAGAGCCCCTCACCCCTTGCGCTGACTGGGCTCCTTGCTGGCCTGGGTCTACCCACCTCTCCCCATGGCTGCCTTTCTGCTCCTGAGATGCTCTGAGTCTTCCCTCTGCCCAGGACACTCATACCCTTTCTCCTTGCATGGCTGGTTCCCTGTGGATCTTCAGACCTCAGCTCAGTGTCACCTCCTTCCTCCAGGAGGCCTTCCTGGACCACTCCCTCTTGTGGGCCACTGTCCTCTACAGACCCCATTGCAGAACCGCGCTGGTTTCCTCTCTGGCCCTCACCTTCCTCTCTGCCTCCCCCAGGTGACTGTAAATTCCACGAGATTAGGGCCTGGGCCTCACGCCTAAACAAAAAACCATACCCACTGCCCTCGAGTCAATTCCGACTCATGGAGACCCCATAGGTGTAAGAGCAGAATTGTTCCATAGGGTCTTCTTGGCTATGATGATCACGGAAGCAGATTGCCAGGCCTTTCTCCTGCTGAGCGAGTTCAAACCACCAATCTTTAGGTTAGTAGTCAAGTGCAAACCGTTTGCACGACCCAGGGACCTTGGGCACACAGTAGGTGTGTGAATCCAGCACTGAATGGTGCACTGTGGTGGGGCTGTCCACCGTGGCCCTTCCTTCTCCCTCAGATGTCTTCATTCCTGGATGGCTCTGGGTGTCCGTGCAGGCCAGTGAGTGCTCCAAGGACAGGCCTGAGGTGACCTCTCTCCGCACTCCCCCAGGCCTCCCCAGGGACCAGGCAGCTCCTGCTAACTTTGGCCTCTGCCGGAGGCATCTCCAGAATTCCAAGACTGTCTCCGAATGCCGGGCCTGTCTGGGGAATGCCAAGGCTGGAGCACAGGTGGGGAGGCCAAGGGCGGCTGGGCGGGGCAAGGACAGCTGCTGGCATTCTGCTGGAGCCTGGGTGCCGATGGCAGCTGTCCCTCCGGCAAGTGCCTGCTGGTACCTCCACTTCCTCGCAGCCCCGCCCTCCCCCAGGCCAGCGTCACTGTGCTGGCTGCAGCTCTGGCCTGGCACCCTCACCGCCTGAGAGCCACCAGGCCTCGGGCCTCAACTCCCTGTCAGGGAGGGAAACTGGGTCCCCCAGAGGGAACCAGCCTCTGGGCTCACAGGGACTGGAAATCACGCCCATCTGGACCTGGCACATCAGACAGAGCCCTCCCCAGGAGCAGGTGGCTCAGCTCTCTCCAGACACATCTTGCCAGGTTCCTGCACCTCTCTAGGCTCCAGGGTCCTCACCTGTCAGGTAGGCCAGTGGAGACAAAGCCGACAGTAGGCTCCTCTGTCCCTGGGAGTCAACGTTGGCGGTGGGAAATCCAAGGAAGGGGTGAGTGGACTGGAGCCTTGGGCCAGCAGGGCCTCCCCCGTGCCCAGATTTACCCCAGCCAGAGCTGAGACATAGCTGGGGCTGCTGCACCAAATGGCAGCCAGGGCCTAGCCAGGTACTGCAGCTATCTGTGCTCTCCAGGTACAGGACCTCAAGGCTCCCAAACTGGCTGATGAACACAATGGCTCCCAAGAGCTTGTTAAAATGCAGACTCCTGGGCCACCACAGACTCCTGATGCTGAACCACGGGAGATGGGGCCACGAGGTGTGGGAGTCTCTACCTAATCTAAGTGCCCCCTGCAGAAGGTATGTGGAGTGCTGGTTCCGAGCAAGCATGCCTGGGATGGTCGCCAGGGCAGGAGTGGACCCTGGCGGGGAGTCCACAGCCCCTGAATGTCCAAAGCCAGACACCAGGAGCAAGGCTTTATTTGCGTTGCCCGGGACTTGGGTAGCAGGGCAGAGAGGGCCAGGGGTCAAGAACACGGCCAGGTTCAGGCACCGGGATCCTGGTCCCCGTCCTATCCGAGGGCCCAGCTGCAGCTGGCATGGCCACAGGCACCTCTGGGTAAGGGTCAGCTTCTACTCCACCCCCTTCATGAACTCCAGGAACTCTGTGGAGAGAGATGCAGGCATGGGTCAGAAGTGGGGGCCCAGCAGGGGTGAGCAGCACCCCCACCAGCCCACCCACTCACTCACCATCATAGTCAATGCGGCCATCGTTGTTCTTGTCACCGTCCTTCATGAGCTCCTCGATGTCATCCTCCGTGATGGTCTCACCTGTGGCCTGCAGCATTGTCTTCAGCTCCTCCAGGTCAATATAGCCATCTGCGTTCCTGCAGGGAGGGCCAGGGGCCTCAGAGCTCACATCTGGGGCCAGAGGGAAGGACACGTGCCCCACCCATGACCCCAGGAGGCAGAGCAGGAGACACTGTGAGACGAGGCATCCCACTCCCACATCGCACAGACTGGGGAGACTGAGGTCCCAAGGTCACTGGGCCTGGAACCTGAGACTGCTCCCCTTTCCCCAGCTCTGCCAGGGGTCAAGGGTGGTCTGCTCACTTGTCAAACATGCGGAAGAGGTCGGACAGCTCCTCCTCAGACTTCCCTTTGCTGTCGTCCTTCATGCACCGAACCATCATGACCAAGAACTCATCGAAGTCCACTGTGCCGCTGCCTGGGGGTGGGTGGCAGGGCGGCAGGGAGGGACAGTCAGAACTGCAGACACTGCCCTTGACACTAGACCCTGGTACGCTCGTTGCAGCCTTCCACCAACTCTGGGAGGCGAGGGCGGTCATTACGCCCGGTTTACAGATGGGAAGACTGAGGCTTGGAGAGATTAAACATCTCCTTCAATGGCACAGAGGAGGAAGGGGCAGAGCCAGGATTTGAGCCCCCAGCGAGCCAGGGGTGTGCACAAGTTGGGGGCCTGGTGGAGAAGAGGGGGCTCACCGTCCTCGTCCACCTCATCGATCATCTCCTGCAGCTCCTCAGGTGTGGGGTTCTGGCCCAGCATCCTCATCACCTTGCCCAGCTCCTTGGTGCTGATGCAGCCATCCTCGGCGCCCAGCACGAAGATATCAAAGGCTGCTTTGAACTCTGTGTCCGATGGGGGAGTGAGGGGGACAGAGCACCTCAGAGCTCAGCAGCCAGGACCCTGGAAGACAGATCCCTGGGGCCACCTGCCAACCTGCCCACCTCCCTCCAAGGCCTTGGAGGTCACCGTGAGAGGGGCCCCAGCCTCTGGCCTCCAGCCTGAGTCCTCTCCTGGCAGGGGGTCCCCATGTTCCCCCAACCCAGCCCTGCTGGCCCCCCAGGTGTGTTGGGGGCACTGACCATTTTTCTGTTCTTCTGTCAGCTGCTCTACCTAGAAAAGAAAAAGGGTCTCAGCACCCAGACTCAGGCCTCGGCCACGGGGGAGGATGCAAACCCATTCTACAGGCGGGAAGACTAAAGCAAGGAGGAGCAGGCTTATCCCGGGTCACAGGTCCCAGTACTCCCTCCCTGCCACCCAAAGCCCTGAGGTAACCCGGCTGATCTCACTTAGGCTGGGTGGGCCCAGGGCCAGGGTGACAGGTGGGCACCCTCTCCAGGGCCAAGGTGACCCTGAGTGACAATAGCTAGTGACCACTCAATGCTCTCTCGGCTCCCTGCTGAAACTCAAGCTGGGTTGCCTGAGGGACAGCTGTCCCTCAGGTTGGGACAATAAAACCAGTGTGGCTTTGCCCACCCACTGTAACCTGACCGGGGTGGCCACTGGGCTATTTTTAACTGGGGACAAAGTTAAACCTGGTGATTGTTCTGAAGACTCTGGCATGCGGGGTGTGGGGCAGCGTTATCTGGCCCCCTGGCCTGCTGGTGCCGCCTCAGGAGCCAAAATTAGTCCCCAACCCCGCCAGGCCTTGTATGGGCACAGGGTGGAGGGCTGCTCCCCCATCTCCACAGATAGGCAGGGGCGCCCCCGAGCCAGCTGCGGCCCCTCCCTGCCCAGGAGTGGGCCTCGCTCTGGGGACTGAGGGAGGGGTTCCCTGAGGGACAGCTGTCTATGCTGGGATGTCCTTATCTCCTAGGTGGGGGGAGGTTACCACCCCCTAGGTGGAACAGCATCTGAAGCCCCTCTGTCACCCCCAGGAAGCTGCAGGGGCTTGGGGTGACTACTCCCCAGCCCTCGCTCCCTCATCCTCACCCCCAGTTAAGCCACTGAGTGCTGAGGCCTGCCAGCGCTCTGTTCCTTCTTCCCTGGCTCTCCCCCAGGCCCAGTCCTTCCCTGCTTCAACTTAAAGCCCCTCCCCAGGCCAGGCTTTGGGTCCTGCAGCCCCCTCCTCACAAAGCATCTTCAGTCAGCCAGGGGCTGGAGGCGCTGGGGGACTGTGAGTGTGCGAGAGGCAGAATGTGGGGAACAGAAGTGGTGGGGCAGGGAGACAGTGACAGAGACTCAGAGAGAGACAGCTTGGGGGAACAGTGACAGAGACTGAGAAAGGCAAAGATCCAGAGACATACACACAGAGATGTGGCCGAGAGACAGCGACACAGACTTGGAGACAGAAAGGGAGGCACGATGCTAAAGCAACCTCCTCGTCTGACAGCTCCTCCCCAGACCCTGAATACCCCACCCCCACCCCGTCCCTTCTACACCCCCAGACGCCAGACCCACCATCCCCTTGAGGGAGGAGGCACAAAGGTACGTGGGCCTTCTCTTGGGTCCCCAACACCTCCTAGGGGCGACCTTGCCCCCATCCCGAGCTGAGTGAGCTCGCCCTGCCCAGGCCCATGCCTCACCGCGGCCTTGTAGATGTCGTCCATGCTGGCGGCTCACAGGGCAAGCTGCCGGGGGTGCCAGCCAGCCTCAGCTTAAATAGTCCTACCTCACCACATTCCCGCCAGTCTGGCCCAGCCCAGCCCAGCCCAGCCCAGCCCTGCAGCATCCCCTCCCCCGGCCCCAGAGATCTCAGACTGGCTAAGTCCCTGTGTCCTCTGCCCAACACAGGGAGCAGATGAAGGGCTGCAAGGACCAGGCCTCTTGTCCTCTGTCCCCCTCAGCCCCCAGGGGCTCTCTGGAAAGGTTTCTTGAATGAATAAAAACATGAACCAGGACAGAAGCTGCTAAGGAGTGGGCCCCAGGCCAAGAGGCTACACACAGCTCAACCTCCTATCCAATTAGGGAAGTGGGCACTATTACCTTCACTTTCCAGATAAGGAAACTGAGGTTCCTAGAGGGCTGGAGACTTGCCCGAGGTCTGGTTGACAAGGCAGTGTCTGCCTTAGGCCAAACCTCTCTGGAGTGGAGGCAGTATGCAGGGAGAGGTAGGGAGTGTCAGGCTGGGAGCAGGAGGACCCTGCCAGGAGAAGCCTTGAATGCCCAGCTCAGAGTATGGTGCTATGGAAGTGGTGGAGGAGAGCGGTGCTGACTCGCCTCCCTAGGGTATGGTGGTCTGGAGCCCTTCATCCAGGGGTGCCAGAGGAGGCCTGCCCCAGACTTCCCCTCTCTCCAGGGAAAGCAGTGCCAGCTTTGGGCTTGGGTCTGCTGCAGAAGTCAATCAACAAACGCAGATCTACAGATGCCTGTGCCAGGCTGGCTCCCTCCTGCCTCTCTTTTCTAGGTCTCAGTCTTCCCCTGGGTTAGGGTTGCTTCTCTCTGCCTGTCTTCTCCCATTCCAGCCCTGTCGCTCCTGGCTCCCGGACCAGTCTGTCCAGTCTGTCTCCCCTTAGTTGCACATATCTCCACCC